TCTTAAACACTTACTGTTAATGGTTCCATATAAAAATGTAATGAACGTTTTTCCCTGAGTGCAAATTGGTTAACAAGCAATGCTTGCCTATTGTTCTTCATAAATAATTTGTATTACTTTTTAGCAAAAGTGGAGTAATGGAGAAACCATAAGACTCGTCTCATAAGTAGTCCATAACGTTCAATAAATCAAAGAGTCAAGACTTCAGTGTGAATACATTTATGTTTTACTCAAATGCACTTGTATGAATAGGTGATAATTATAATTATATTTCCGTTGTACTCTAAAAAGATAATGAAGACAAGGCTGTATCATAAGGACTAATTTCTAGACACATTTACAGGGCTTTTTTCCATAGGCAGTGGAATGGCCCATGATGGACAAACATCCAATTACAGAAATGAATAAGGGTTTACTTACATATATTATGATCAAGTGTCTAGACATGATAATAGGCAAAAGACAGATCTTTACAAAATAAGACCAGGCACAACGGTTTGACCATGACAATAGACAAATGTCTGGTCATGACAATAGACATGTGTCTGGTCATGACAATAGACAAGACTTAGTGTCTGATCATGACTTTAGACAAGATGTCTGAACTTTACAATAGAAAAATTTTCTTGCCCCAAAAACAATAGCCAAGTGGGGGTAGGGAAAAATTACCAAAGTGGGGGGTTTAGAAAATAAACAATTGGTCGGGTTTCATGAAATTTACTAAAATTTCGGGTCATAACAATACCAAAAGGGGTTTGGTCAACAAAAAAAAAGGTTCTGGGTCATGACCATTAAAAATTCTGGTATGAAAATAGACAAGTGCCTTTCAAAAACAAAAGACAAGTGTCGGTTTTGGACAAAAAACAAGATTTTGGGTCATGCCAATAAAAAAATTGCCTGGCCATACAATAAAAAGTGTCTATCATGACAAAAAAGCCAATGTCGGCATAACAATAGAAATGTTTTAGGGAAATACCCGTGTCTATCAGCCCAATAGCAAGTGTCGGCATGACAATAGAAAGGTCGGGTCAAAACAATAGACAATTTCTGATCATTACAATACCAATGGGGGGTAAACCCAATACCCAAAAGTTTTTCAGAAAATTTAGCCCCAAGGGGTTGCAACAATACCCAAGTGGGGGGTCATAAAAATAGCCAAGTGTTTTAATGACAATAGACAAATTTCTTCATCCCAATAGAAATTTCTGATCTAAACAATAACAAGTTTGTCATAAAATTTGAAACCGGGGCTGGTCATGACAAAAGCCCAAGTGTCGGGTCATTGACAAAGCCTTTGACTTCATGACAATAAACAAGGTCGGGTCATGAAAAAATACCAAAAGGGGTTGGTAAATGAAAATAGCCCTAGTTGGTCAGAAAAACGGGCAAATGCTAGCAATGGCAAAAAAAAGTCTCATGAAAACCCGATAATGTCTGGTTTTGTTAACACCCACATGTCGGGCCCAGGGCACGGGACATTTTTTGGCCAGGAAAAGGCAAGTGTTTCATGAAAAACGGGCAAAATGCGGGTCATCAACGGGCAAGTTGGTCAGGGCAACGGGAAATGTTTTGTCAGGGAAACGGGCAAGTTTCGGGCTTTTTATACATATTTGCGGGTATGAAAAATTAAAATGTTTATTATGACAAGGGACAAGTGCTGGGTCATGAAACAGGTAATGTTTTTCATGAAAACACCCAATTCGGGTCAGGCCAAAAGGGAAAAAGGGGGCCCGGCCCTGAAAAACACACAAGGGGTTTCTAATGGCAAAAAAAGCAAGTCGGCCCAATGGCAACGGGCACTGTCTAGAAAATGCCCAAGGCAAGTTTTTTCCCTTTGGAAAAAAGGGTTTTTCGGGGTTTTCAACAAAAAGGGATTTTTTTTAAACAGGGGCAAAAAATCGGTCATAACATGGCAAGTGTCTGATCATAACAATAGGAAAATGTTTGGCCATGGCAATTAAAAATGTCTGGCCATGACAATGGGCAAGAGGTACATCTTGACAAAACAAGACCAGGAACAAATGTCTGGTCATGACAATTGGCAAGTATCTGATCATGACAATAGTCAAGTGTCTGGCCATGGCAATTAAAAATGTCTGGCCATGACAATGGGCAAAAAAGAGGCACGTCTTGACAAAACAAGGACCAGGGAGAAATGTCTGGAGATGACATTGGTATGTAGTCATGACAAATGGCAAGAGGCAAATTTTGACAAAACAAAACCAGGAACAAATGTCTGGTCATGACAATGGGCAAATATTTGGTCATGACATTTGGCAAGTATCTGATCATGACAATGGACAAGTACCTGCTTCATAATAATCTGGTGATGAAAATAAAAGGACACTGATATAAATAAATATGAAAAACTTGACTTGCTTTTTGAGCCATAAAAAAATTTGGCCGGTCTCCAATAAAATTTAAACCCCTTCCCAAGAAAGGAAAGTTTAAATTTTTCCTATTTTAAACTTCTTTGCTAGGTTAAAAATTTCGGGAAACAGAAAGGTCCCCAATAGAATAATATTTCATTAAAATTTTTGGCTTTTTTTTTTAAGGGAAAGGCCCAAATTTTAAAATTTGTTTTTATAGGAAAGCAGCCAATACTTTATTTTAAAACATAATTCATTCAGCTTTTTTTCAAAAAAAACTTTTTTCTAAAAAATTTTAATAGATTTCAATAAATTTCTGTGAGTAAAATAATTTTACTCAAGGATGAAGCTTAAGTACATTTTTAATGTCACAAGTAAAATTCATTTTTATGATGAAAATCAAACATACATATTTACAATGTCGGTATATATCCAGCATTGAAAATTGCAAAATAATATGATATATATAGTCAGCAAAATTCTAAAACCACAAATATGTTAAGATGATTTACATAGACTCTAACGTGGGCGATTCCACGATAGCTTTGCGATCGATAAAAAACTTAGGCCTTATTTTGATCGCTAAATTACTTTTTGTAAAATTGACAAAAAAAACACTTAATTGAAGCAGTAACAAAGCACAGAAAGAAAAATGGAATAAATATACTTATCTTAACTTTTCTTTAACTTTATTATATAGATTTGTTTAAAAATGTCTTTGGTATTTCTTATTACTTTGTGGTTTTAAATAAATGAAATATGAATGAAATCATATTAATAATACATTGATACAAAAAAAAATATCTTCAAATAATTTCAATGTCGCCATACCACAAAATCATTCACATTTTTTTCTGTTTACAACAATTTTAAACAAAAAATTTATTATTTACCATCGACTTTTCCTTTTTTAACTTATTATGTTTTGTAATTGATTTTCCCGGGCAAAACCCTAAATAATTGTAACTTTATAACACTTTTTCGGGGGTTTTGAACCCAAAATTACGTCTGTTAGACATTTCTTTTTCAAAATCAAAAGTGAAAACCCCCCATGCATTTTAAAACCTTTTGAAGGGAAACCTTATTTTCGCAAAACAAACTTTCTTTTATTTTTTATTTCAAAAAAAGGCATTTACTCCATTAATATACTTTCAAAATTTTGTGTTTAAAATTTGGGGCTTTAGGGTTTTACATTTTTCCAGGTTCCCTTTTCAAAGCCCCCTTTTAAAAAATTTTTTAAAATAAGGGGATACTTAAAAATTTCATGGATGACGACAAAAAATTTAATTTTTTTTCTTTTTCCCGGGGTCCCTTTTTCCGCACTTACGAACCAAGTGATAATCTTGGAATGGAATTGTCTTGCTTATTAAGATAAACAAATGTTCTAAAGTTGCTACCAAAATTTGATTATGAGTGACCTCAGTGTTGACTGGCTTTTTACAAAGGATAATTTAAACAAGATATGTTTGTAAAACACGTATGCGACCTATCGGCAGCCAATTAGTCATGTGACCAGGTTATTATGACTGACTTTTGACTAGTGACCAAAAACATCAATAAGGGTTTATTACTGGGTCATGACTTAAGTCACTCAGGTAAATTGTTACCGGGAAAAGTTGTGTGCAGGCAATTTTTTTGACAAAGTTATTACAAATCTTACCAAAATAATAAATGCATAAATTTTATGAATCATGTATGGCGCGTCATTAATGACAGCAAAGTTGGTTATATTACATAAACCTTGAAAATGTGTATACCAAAAAAAAAAGGTTTTTTTTTTGATAAAAAATATTCAACCAAGGCAACTTGAGTTTCTTGAGCTATTGGTCAGAAATCAGTCTTTACATACAAGGTCAATAATGACATTGACCTTTGACGATTAAATCGATAGGGGTTATCTACTGGCCTAGACCAATGCACCTGTGAAGTTTGAAGGTAAAGGGCCCATGAGTTGGGATATTGATCAGAAAGCATTTTTACCTATAAGGTCAATGTTTACTTCACCTCTGACCCCTTAATGCCAAACAATCAATTGAGGTCATCTTCTAAACAGAAGCAATGCATCTGTAAAGCTTGACGGTCATGGGTCTATGGGATAGAAACCCATTTTGAAATACAAAGCCAATTCAAACTTGACCTTTGATAATAAGGGTCATCTACTGGCCAAGATCAATGAATCTACCAAGTTTGAGGGCCAACAGCCCATGGGTTGTCAAGTTAATGATCGGAAACCGTTTTTACCTACAAAGTCAATTTGACCTTGACCTTTGACCCATTGACCCCTTAATCAATGGGGGTCATTGCGGGTTAGGAAAAATTTAAACATACCAAGTTTGAAATTTTCCTACCCAAAGGGCTTTTATTACCCACTCGGAAACCGTTTTTTCCAAACAATTCAATGGCCCTTTTGCCTTTCCCCCCAAAAATCAATAGGGTCTTTTCAAATTTGTTTGAAGAATATCAAAACCAAAATTTTTGAATTCTAGGCTAAGCATTTTTAAAGAAAACCCCGGGGAAACCTTTTGGGGGTTCTAGGGCCCGGAAAGACCCCCACCAGACAAATGCAAAGAAATTTAAAAACCCCCACTTCTTTGAAGGGGGGCATAATAATGTACAAAGGGAAAAAATTACCCTTGTCATGCATGGATCGGAATAGATTTTTCGATCCCCTTCGCTTTGGTGGCGTATTCTTGAGCCATTCTGTTGCTTCTTGTGGTGTCAAATTGGTGCGTCCAATACGAGCTGGAATATAACATTAGAAATGAAATTAAAATATATACATGTATAGAAGTTCTTACCAATATTGCACACAATTAGGTCAATACCTTTCATCAATCTCCTAACACCAAACACATTGCAAGACCTGCTAAATAGAAATAAATGTACATATATTAACCTATAATGGAATTTTTTACAAGTACAAGTATATGTCAATCTTACATTATGGAAATGTCCTCTATCAATTTTGGGGGTATGACAAGATGACAATTTGAATTAAAAGAGAGTCACCCAACAGTATAGAGCATGTTCAGACTGCATGGACGTGCAGGCCAATCTGGCTCGATAGTTTTTGGTAAAGACTCATCATTTCTTGTTTCAGCAGGATAAGAGTTATTAAATTTTAAAATTCAAAGACCTGAGTCTAACATTATCAAGCCATCTGATTGGCTGTTCATCAGCTTCCAATTCTAACAAAGGATTTGATTGGTTGTTCATCCTAAATAACCAATAGTATAAGATTTGGAGTTTAGACTGGTCTTCATTACAATGTTATAAAGGGCAAGACCAAAATTATAATTGATTTCATTATGCTTTCAAATTGTTTTTTTTTCTAGAGGCAAAAGGTAGACAAGCTATAAGTAAATAAGCAAAAAAAAAACTACTTTAATGGTAACAGTCTTTATCTGATCAAATCATATATTTTTCACACTAAGATTTTGTTAGGAACAAATGATATGGCCAAGAATCATATCTTTTATACCTGATATATCATGTTCCTAATTACTAAACTAAAATGTAACAAAACACCCATGATGCTCTGTGGTTCACATTTTATATCAATGAAATCATTTTTGGACACAAATTTTTTCATTTTTATCAAACAAGAAGCCATACACTGACAATCCTATTATAAATCTCTATTTATGATAAAAATGTACAATAAATATATAACTTTATAATACGTGTGCACCTTATAAATTGACCATTAGACCTGTAAAAACAGTTACACCCTCATTTTTACTGATAACTATGGAAAGGTGCAAAGATTTCCGATTCAAACGTTTGATGCAAAACTCTAATTACCAAAGAGTTTGAGCGGAACGCACTGCAAGCATTTAGCATGAAAGACATGATATGCATATGTGCCAACATAAATGATATGATAAATAGAGTGTTATTTTGATAGCAAAAATTCGGGAGTCCATACAAATATTTCATTGCCGATAAGAAGAATTTTTCTTTACCTACTTCTATATGAAGCCAAAAATCAAAACTAGGGTAGAAATTTTATGTGTGACCCAGATTAAAACCGCGCTGCTATACTTAAAATCATTATATTGAAATATTTTATTAGCCAAAAGAATTAAAGAAACAGTAAAGCATTATTATGGGAAAACATGGGAATACAGATCATTAAAAAGTTCCGTAAAAAGTAAAAAATCATAATTCATAAACAGTACAGCCTATTAAACCTAGCTCTATACTGATGGCAAACGTTTATCATTTTCAGTTCCAACAGTTTCAAAGGGTTAATGCTGAAATTATGACACAAAGCTGTTTGAGTGTAAGTGATTATAAAACAAATGAATAACTTACACTCCAACAAATTCTTAGAGCCAATTTTTCATTTTTCAACAAGCAACATCCATATGAGATGCAATTTGTTTATCTACTGAAGTATAAGACTTCACGTAAGCGCTGACTAGAAATTGACTTCAGGCAAGTTCTTATAATCACCAGCATAAAAATACAGTTAAGGAAGCTGCATTGAAGCTGCATTGAAGCATGATTTCATAATATCTTTCAATGCCTGTTTTTCTAGTTCATTTATTTTAATAAATAAAAAATAGAATTTAGTCAAACCCTTGAATTTCTTAATTGGACTTGCCCAGCTTTCGTTATTGGGATTGTCTACAATCAATTATTGGGAAATCAGATGAAAATTTCAAGTTTTCAGTATACAATGTCTGGTAAGACTACATGGCAGACTTCCCGAAATACGTCGGTACGACGGACATGTCCGATAAATTTTGATCAGGTCCGACGTTTTTTTATTCCGGATCGGTCCGAATGTCCGGCTTTTATCCAAGCCGCATGTATACAAAATGGCGTCGCTAAAGCTGACACACCTGGGAAAAAACGTCAGGAGCGTGCAGAACAGCAATAAAAGGATGAAAAGAATAGACCTGAGACAAAATTTAATGAAAAATGGAAGCAGGACCATGAATCTTTGGTGTATAACAGGGAGGAGATGTAAATGCACTGTACGGAATGTGCCGATTTGTATGGCGAAAAAATTAAAAACAAAAAGTGTCTTAGAAATACAAACACAAGTTTTTCTTTGATTTTGATCAATTTTATTTGGTCTGACAGATTTCGTTTCGGTCCGACAGATTTTCATGGTTTGTCAGACCGAATGTCTGACAGTTTTTTTTTACTTTCGGGAAGTCTGACATGGATGTGGAGGCTCTAAACTGGTAGCAAAGGCTCCATCACTTTCACAGGGCATTGGGCTAAAGTTCCATATATCCTTCAATACTACACACCTGGGATTTCAATTTGAACAGTAATGAAAATAATGGAAATATAATGAAAATTTCATTAATTAAAAGTACCCTGACAAAAGTAAAATAAAACTTTTTTGTGCCATATCAAATTTTGCTTCTTTTATTTATAAAAAAACATTAAACTTTCTTGCAAAAATCAAAATAAAATAATCAAAATATCTACTCAATATAGGCTATATAATCTATGTTATGTATGGTTAAATAACAAACCTTGCAAAAAAAAATTTCAAGTGTTTTTATCTTTTGAAATTTAGTGCAATACAAATACAGACAGGAGAGTAAGAATATTATACTGGTCTGTTTACGTAGACTTGTCAATTTCACGTCCCATTTACCTTGTATATTATATTAATGACAATTTCTTTTTTTTTTTATTTTTAAAAAAAAATTGTAGGCATAAATCTTGAAGTAATAAAACTTTCCGGATGATTTTTTTTTTTTTTTAATTGTTTGATCAGTTGAAAAAAGCTTTAATTTTATGAGTGAAATGTCTGCAGTTTACTTAAATGGTTATTTGTATTCAAAGTCACGTAAATATTATAAATATCCCTGCCGGAAAGAAAAAGATGCAGTTGTCACCTATACCTCCATCTGATATTGTCCAACATTTGACCTTGAAATGTGACCTTGAAATGTGACCTTGAGTTTGTGCTGACACAATTAAATTCTACACAAGGTCTTATCAAGGTGAACATTTGAGCCAAGTTTGAAGAAAATCCTTCAAAGGTTATAAGAATTATATAGCTGACATTATTGAGACATATGGATGGACCAAACAGGACAAATTGATTCCAGTACAGCCCTCTCCACATTCTGTATTTACTGTGTAATGCCAGCAGTAAAACACAGGCAAGGGTATAGACAACATGTCTGTGCAGCCTGACTGAACTTCTTCTTGTGCTTCAAAATCTCGAACATTTGATAACAGACATTTTCAAATTTCCAAAGTGTGACAAGTCCTTTAAAAAGTTTTTAGTGGGATGCAAATGAAGCATAAGGCAATTTTAACATGACTAAAAGTTGAACTCAGTCTGACTACATTTTGTAAAGCATCTTTTCTCTTATGGAGCTTTGGCTTATAAGCTATAATTAATGTTCTTCAATTTTTACAAAATTCCATGATCCAATGTATTAGGTAACTCCTGACCAAAATCAAATTAAATCTGCCATTGAGTTAAACGTAACCTTTTTGAACGGCATAATCAAAATCTTGATAAATTTAAGTCATCAATTGTGCAGTGCACTTGTTAATAATGCATCTAAATTTTAAAAGCCAGCGCAACGCATGTTTTCTTACGTGACAGTAACCAAGGTTCATTCATTAAAACACTCAACAAGACTTCATTCATATTATACTTTATCAACGAAATACCTTGCTTTCCAAATATCGCAATCCCTAAATCAAACGCTATAAAACAGGTTTTTAAACCAGTTATCAAAGGTTGAGCGATTTAAATCTTTATCTTTGCTATGTCTATGAGAAAAGTATATAAAACATGCTTAACTGGCGTTTTATCTAGCAACGAAGGAACGACTGTAGGTAAAATAGATTTTACCATAGATCATCAATCCTTATAGAAATCCTTCGAACAAAGAACTAGCCTGGGAAAATAATCGGGAAAATTGATATTTTTTCCTATTAATCATCACAAGTCTTATTAATAAGCTATAAAATATATTTTTTGAAAGAACACTAAACAATAAAGCTGTTGTTTTGTCACACGTCCCCATTTGTATGATATAGACAAGCTCTCTTACACAGCCAAATTCATTAAACATCGCCATTATTCTTAAAAAAAAACTTTTTGTTTCCTTTTTGGCTTAAGATGTTTTGTTTTTTGTGGGTTTTTTTTTTGGTATTAAAAAAACTGAAATGATAACTGTGCAAAAAACAAAAAGGTTTCATTTTTACTTTCACTTACTTTGATTACTTATTATTATATAAATACAACCTCTAAAAACTGCTTTCTCCAGGCATTACACTGATTCTTTGACGTCTGCCAGTGGCCTAGAGCATTGATTTTAACTGAATGTAAGCAAGTGGTCATAAACTTCTATTTTTAAGTACCAGTGACCTTGACCCAAGTGACCTGTTACTCCTTCCAAGGTGTAATACCTCCTACCAAATATGAAAGACGAAAGTGGAAAAATCAGATTTTTCAACCAATGACCTTGACCCAAGTGACCCCTAACTACCAAAGGTATGTATCTTCCAAATATGTAAAAACATGTCAATGACTGAAGGCCATAAGCAAAAGTGTAAAAATCTATTCTTAAGTATCATGTGACCCCAAATTCAACTCAGAGGTATTTATCTACCCAATATGAAAGGTATGGTCAAATACATGAAATTGCTAGGAAAACTGGTCAGACAAAAGTTACAAGCGATGGTAGATTAGAATATTTTCAAAGGATTTCTGATTTTACCCCGTTGTAAACTCACAGTTACCAATG